CTTAATTGGATAGTCAATGTGAACATATATAGCATGGCTTCCATGATCCTTAATATAAGGGAAAAAGCTCTCCTAGAATAAACGGGATAAACACCTGAAGTATTAGTCCAGCAACAAATCTGTATTGAGTGCCTACTGTGCCTGGTGCTATCTCAGTAGCTGGGAATCGTAGAGAGTCAAAGTCTCTGACCTTCTGCAGTTTATAAGAATATATCTTTTGATTTAGAGACAGGGTCTCACTCTGCCACACAGGCTGGAGTGTAGTGGTACAATCATGCTCACTGCAACCTCAAATTCTTAGGCTCAAGCAATCCTCCTGCCTTAGCCTCCCAAGTAGCTAGGACTACAGGTGCATGCCTCCATGGCTGGACAATTTTTTAAATTTTCTTGTAGGGATAGAGTCTTGCCATGTTGTCTAGGCTGATTTGAAACTCCTAGCCTCAAGCAATCCTTCCACTCAGCCTCCCAAAGTTCTGGGATTACAAGCGTGAGCCACTATGCCTGGCCTTAAGAATCTATTTTTATGCTGATCCCAAAACTGTTATTTCTGCTTGGATATACTGAGGATATTGAGTACTTACTACATGAATCATGAATTGCTATCACATAATATTTTATACCATAAGTACTTTGAGCATCCAAAGATGCTTTGCTTTATTTGTATCTTATGTACAAATTGATGATTATGTAAAAACATGGTTTCAGCTTTTTGCCATAAGGATAATCACAATAGTAAAAAAAATAAATAAGTCAGATTTAGTATTTGATTGACTGAACTGATTTATGACTCACTGGTCTATTAAAGCAGCCAACCTAGTAGCATGTCTGTGCTTGACTAGAGCAGCCATAAATATATTGGTCAATTCACTTTTTTTAAAGGCAGTCACAGCACACACTGAATTGACTGTCATATCACCGATCCGGCTGTGGTGTTGACATAGACATAGTCATTGCCACCAGAAAACTCATAATATGAAAGAGAAAGATTTGTATTGTGTTCCAATTTAATCTCCTCTAGTTCCCAATTCACAGGTCAGAGCATCAGGCTATATGTGTTTTCTATCTCATAATACATTGCTACTCGAGACCAAAACGCTACTTATGTCTAAATTCATATTAAAGTGTGCGACACAATGCCCTTAGGTTTTGGAGGTTGTATGCATTAACCTAGACTTGCAGGGGGAAGTCCTAGCATAAAACATAATACCCCAGGAGCTGTCACAATTCAGGGACTGGTCTTGATGTGGACATTGAACTGCTTTGTATGTCACAGAGGCCAAATCGTACTTGTTTATCATAGCATCATGAAATGATAGACTTATCATCTAACCTTGTGTGCACATCACTAAATATTCTCAAGATAAAGTCAAGTGACTTTAATATCTATTTGTTTCTTTTGCACGGTCATCATTATATTGTAATGGATAGCTCTACTAATTCACAAAGAAAAAATAAGTTATGTTTGTGGATTGTTTTGGGTGGTTATAAAAAGAGTCTGTGGTTTCA